AACAACTACGTGTAAATCTAGAGACATTTGGAAATTGTATTGTGCAAAATTTTTTAGCCATACAATATGGGGTAGCTCTAATATCACTCTCTTGTTTACTGATTTGATTGAATGTCCTGTACAGGAAACTGCAGATTTTGGAACCAAAAGTGTCAAAGTCTGTTTATAAAACCATCAATCCTTTAACCCCTCAGAGTGACTAGCATCTAATTTTTCTGCAAAATATCACCCTTTAATCATAAATTAAAGGTTACAAGAATGAAGGAAATGAACACTGAATTAAGAGTCTCTTGATTGGTAAACAAGTTTTCCTTGTCAGTACCATAGGAAATGGAGAGAGAACATTATAGAGAATCTGAATGCTGTTAGCTATGGTACAAAGGGTTAAATGGTCTGTGCTAATGCAAATCAACAGAAAGAAGGTTCAAATTTGAAAGCAATCTTCACAGTACACCACAAATCTTCTTCTTAAACTGCAGGTCACATATATGATTTGCATATATTTACAGTCAGAAATAAGGTTCAAACCTGATTGTTGGACCCTTTGTCATCTTCTTAAAGAATTTTTCCCGATTTAATCTGATCATTTCCTCATTTGTGGTATCATTTTTGCCTTCAGCTGAGGGTGTCTTTCCATTGGATGGCTTTGAATCAACTGTTTGAATTAATTTACAACACTGTTAGCAAAAACTATTCAAAAGACTATCATTTAAGTTTAGTGATACATACTGCTAAGGTCTTTGCTAAATAACATATGGATATCATATGGAGAAGTTACATGTTAATCACTTCTGTTGAATTTCTTCAAAAGGTCTTGTTTACCTGGGAGATTTGTTGATCTATGTAAGGGACCCTCTGAGATTCTTTCTTTATCAGGGAGAGCAAAGAAAGAAAGAGCAAATGTGAGTATATGAAAGAGATCTTCGCAGTAATGAACACTACTAGAGCAGTAGTGAAAATGAGACCTGAAAAAAAATTCAGGCCTGTACGGAATTTTTTTTCAGGCCTTATTTTCACTACAGCTCAAGTAGTGTTCATTACTGCGAAGATCTCTTTCATATTCACGTATTTATCCACAGTTCAAATATATGACTTTCATATACTCACATTTGCTTAAACTCAGAAAGGTTGTATCTATGTTATCATAATAGCAAAAATACAGTAGTGAATGAAACATGCTCTTACCTTCTTCCATGACCTCTGCCTTTTTGTTCTTAGCTCCACCTTTCTTTCCAGATTTGCCACTTTCTTTATTCTTCTCATTCTTGTCAATCTTGAGTGAAGCCACCGTCTTCTGTGACTTCTTTGATTCTTCAAAGGTTTTCATTTTTGCAGGGGCTTGCGCTTCTAACTTGCTTCTTAATTCTGCTTCTTTGAGCAATCTGTTGAAATCTTCATTGAACTCATAATTCCTCATAATTCCTGCCTCAAGATCATCTTTGTATTTGTCCCTAAACTCTAGCTGGATGTCATTTAGTAGTTTATCCACATATGACAGTTGTAACGTCTTCTGAAACGCAACCTGACGATAGAGGAGATGGATTGAAATTACTCATGAATAAAAATCTACATACTATTTTTCCTGTTACATTATAGTTTTCTGGTAAAGATATGAGAAGCTGACTCATCTCATGTGAGACTCATTTCATTACAACTAATTACAGGTCATGTAGGGGAACAATGAGGTCCCAAAGACCTCTTACAAAGTGGCTTCCCACATACAGAAATGATCAATTCTGACGACACTCAGATGAGTTATTCAATGTGAAATTTTAATTAGGATGAGTCAGCCAGTCTTGTAGTATATGCATCCTAATATGACCATAACATGTGTACACTGAAAACTAAGGGTTCTACAAAAAGAACCTGTGCTAAGCCAAATACAAAAAACCACTAAAAAGCCACTCTTTACAAGAGGCTAACGTATTCCTCATCTAATGCAGCAGTACAATACCCTGAGGAAAGGGTAAACTAACCTGGTTACATTGCTAATCACAAAGAAAACTCAATGAATGTGGTGATATTTTACAGGGATTTGGAAACAAAAATTACATTAATACAAAAAAAAAGAAAGTAGTCTAACATAAGACTGACCAACCTAGAATGACTTAATTTTCCCACAAAACACCTAAATAATCCAAAACTTCCATGATGCCACATGAACCTCTTCCACTAATTCATTCCCATGTCACTCAACTGTCAGAAATTACACCTTACAGCAGTTTTGTCTTTCAATGTTGCTCAACTAAACTAAGCCCCTTTCCTCGTCACAAAAATTGAACAAAAGAAGAACTAAAAAAAAAATTTACCCTTCTACTTCACAAATAGATTTTAAGTTGCTATGCCTCTGTTTAGTAATAGATCACAGATGACTTTGAAATAAGGTAAGAACAAAAAAGGGGCACATGAGACACAGGCGAGTGCATCACTGATATTCTTACCACAATTTGAGGTCTTCTGAAATCTATTACTGTACAGACCCATGGCAACATAGAATATATTTGTTTTATGTGACCAAAAAAAGCAAAATGTTTTTAATGGTGACATCATCCATGGGTCTCTCTTCTAACAGATCATGAGTAAGAACCACTCAAAACAGGAGTATAATTCAGCTTATCATATATAAGGAAATTCCTGCTTAACAACTCTGGTTTGTGTTCATGATGCTCACTCACACTGTAAGATTTCAGACTAACTGGACTTCAACCCCAAAACTTTTTACTTTCAACCATATAAAGAGCATGAAAATAGACTATGGCATCAACTTAGGTTCAAGATGTAAAATGAGGCTGGGCTGGTCAAAAACCTTCGCCGAAAAAATCACTCAGATCAGCCAAGTATTAAAAAAAAAAGAAAACAAAGACAATAAATTTCAGAGTTAATTCAAATTAATTTAAACAAAATAAAAAACAAAGGAAAATAGTTTTAAATTTACGAATCATACATCTACTTACAACAAACACCAATTCAAACTCATTGTCGAGTTTATATTTCAGCGTTAGAGAGCCGTGGGTGAATGAATTGCTCCCTCCACGTTCCTAAATAAGATTAAAAATACAAATTTGTCTTTCCCTTTCAAATAACACCCGGCCATGAAGCATCCAAAAATATTTCTGACTTGATACCGTGGTCTGATATCTACGAAAATCATTTGAACCGTCTGCTAAGTGAGCGGTAAAATATATTTCCCGTTTCGTAGAGCATCAACTTAAAGCTACGTACACCATTATAGGAAATCAACAAGCCGGTGAAAAGGCAAAATTCCTGGTTAAAGACTCACCTGTAAAATAACACTGCGAATGAGTTCATTGACTGGAAGTGTAAAGGATTGGCATGTTCCTTGAAAACACCAAAGAACGATGCCTCCTTTAGAAAATATAGTGAAAAGATCTAACATATCGTGACGTATTATTTCTTCAAAGTTTCGTTTCAAGATTAAAAGCTACTCCCAGAATGCATCAGAACTTCATCAACGATTCAACTTCGATCCCAGGCTACCTCTAAAAGGTTTCGAGAAGGTAAGGAGACGTACGTACTCACATGAATTTTCATGTTGTCTTCGGAGCTGCAATTCTTGTGATACAACTTGCGAGAGGCCTACGCTTCGCATTTCCCCCATTATTCCCAGTACTACCACAACACTGCTACTGCGTATGTATAGCCTTCGAGCATTGGCTCTTTCCGGCGAAGTCCTTCGCACGACCCACTCCCTTAGTTTCGCGGGGCGTTGTAACATTATCGATCAATTTTTCTTTCGCCGAGTTTTTTTTAACTTGCGCCACGGACTTTCCCCAAAAAGAGGAACTAACTGTAGTCTAGCGTATATTTAGAGGTTATAAACAGTTTATAATCACTATATAGCGTATATACTATAATCTAAAGGGAATGTCAAATATATTTTCGATATTCGAGAAAGCCCCCTTCTCTGCTTACCTTAACTTCGTGAAGCAAGATTTGGTGTCTATGACTGTCAACCTTAAATTCAGCATTTTCAATGGAAACGGCGTTCAAAAGAAAGGCTCATTGGGTG